TACTCTTCATACCCCTCTCCCCCATTCCCACTTCAAGTAAGTGATCTTTCCAATATCATAAAACACTAAGGTGAGGTTTTGTAAATTTTTCTTCTGTCTTTTCTGTGACATTTTAGTGGCCCTTATAGATTGGCTAGCCTACCCATTAACCTGACTGTTTCCATAGAAGATTTGGCTATCATCTCACACTTTAAACTCTTCATTTTCTTTTCCTTAAACATGCTCCTTTCCTAGTCAGCCTTGTTCAAAAAATCCATTTTGTCCCGTCTCCACTGCTGTTACTCTAGTCCAAGGATCCATTATCTTTCTTTCTTTTTTTCAGATCTAAAGTGGTTATTATTATTATTATCCTACCTGCATTGGGTTTTCAGTCCCAATGGAGATTGAGAAACCTAGTGAGACCAGTAGCATCCCTGGGGTGGGGGGTAAACACAAGATTCATCCACATTGCTCCCAGCTGCCCTGGCCTTCCTACAACTCTTAGAGGTTTGCAGTCCCGGTCCCTTATAGCCAGCTACGTAGCGATGTCTTTCCTGAAATAGAGACTTTGGGCAGCAGAGCTCCTCATCCCATTCCAGGTGGATAACCACACCCTGAAACACTCCTTTCCATGACTGAAGGTGAGAGGCTGAGGGGAATGCTTTCTGTTCTCTGTGACCCTGTTCCTTTCCAGCACCGTTCTTGCTCTCATGTGCCTGAGTGTGGGCCTTTTCTGCCAAGTGGGCTACACTCTGCTCAGCCCGCACATCACAGAAGACTGTCTCCTCACTGAAGACTGTGAAGTGAATGTTTATACTAAAGTGGCAGCATTATCACTGCACCAGAGCTAGAAAATGGACAGGCAAGGCTCTCTGTAGATAGCAGAGAAGTAGGTAATACCATCTACAAATGCATGTTGGTTTTGCTCCATCATCTTTCTTGACTAAAATGGTCTCCTATCTGGTCTGGCTGTGTTCATTTTATCTCTCATGGTCTTTTTTTTTTTTTTTTCTATACAGTAGACAAAGTGATCTTTTAAAAACGTAGATGTTTTTACCCTTCTGCTCAAAACCCTCCTTTGTGCTTGGCATAAAAGCTGAATGAATTGTAACCACTTGCAGGCCCCGTGTGATCTGTCCGTTGATTTTGCCCCCTCTCCCTCATTTACTGTGTCCTAATCTTTTGCTTTTCTCTCCCTCATTTGCTGTGCTCCAGCCGCATTGCCCAGATATATCAAGATTTCTTCCCCAGATGTACCGAGCTTGTTCCTGTCTTCACACCTTTGCACCAGCTGTTTCCTCTGCCTGGAATGCTCTATCCCAGAACTTGGCATGGTGGGCCACTTTGTGTGATTCAGTTTTCGGATTTCACCTCCTCCAGAGGTCCTCTTTGATCTTCCAGTGTAAAGTAGCTCCTGCTTCAGTGCAGCACCCTGTTTTATTTTCCTCATAGTATTTAGCAATCCGAAACCATCTTTATATGTTTGTCTCTTGTTTATCATTTTCTTTTTCCCTTGCTAGAATTTAAGTCCCATGAGACCGTAGATCTTCTCTGTCTCGTCCATGCTATAATCCTAACACGTAGAGCAATGCTTGATAAATCTTATCTAAATGAAACAAATCAGTGAATGAAAAACAGAGATAGAGAAATACACTTTTTTCTTCATAAAATTTTAATTTTTTAGTTGACACATAGGAATTGTACATATTTATGGGGTACATAATGATGTTTTGATACATATAGTGTATAGTAATAAGATCAGGGTAATTAGCATACCTCATCTCAAATATTTATCATTTATTTGTGATATAAACAGTCAATATCCTCCTTCTAGCTATTTGAAACTGTTTATTATTGTTAACTCTAGTCATCTACAGTGGTGTAGTACACTAGAACGTATTCCTCTTATCTTGCTGTAATTTTGTATCCTTTAGCAAATCTTTTCCTATCCCCCTTAGAAACGTACCTTTTAATACACTGAGGTTGCTGGAACCAGCTGTTGATGTAGTAAGGGAGGAAGGTGACATGGCAGGGCACAAAATCACTTAACCAGTCCTGGTTAAAGTATATAATAAAAAGTGTGGCCCAACAATGAGTGTAACCATTCGGGAAAAAAACAATTTCTCATTGAAGAAGGAGTGAGTTATTCAAACAAACTGGAATCAGATTAATCCTGAGGATTTCCTGTACTACTAATAACTTCAGTCTTTAAGCTATGTAGTTAGATAATTTGATCCCCAAGCCCCAAAAAGATCCTTGATTGTGAATGGTGTTTTTCATAAATTTAAAGCATTGCAGTTGAATGCAATAGAAAAGGAAAAATCTTAGTGTTGCTTATAGGGTTCATAGCAGCGTGCTCAGAATGACATGAGGCTCATTACCATCATTAGATTACATTTTATAATGTTATAATTTATGTGTTTTCTATAGTCTTTTAAAATAACTACTGTGTTGTGGGGTAGAAAAGATTATACTAAAAGGGAAATATGATGCCCCTAAAATGTACTCTGAGGAATTTTTTTATATTGAAAGGAAAATGAGAAAGTATTCTTAAAACCTGTGAAATACAGGCTGGGCGCGGTGGCTCAAGCCTGTAATCCCAGCACTTTGGGAGGCTGAGACGGGCGGATCGTGAGGTCAGGAGATTGAGACCATCCTGGCTAACATGGTGAAACCCCGTCTCTACTAAAAAATACAAAAGAAAAAAAAAACTAGCTGGGCGAGGTGGTGGGCGCCTATAGTCCCAGCTACTCGGGAGGCTGAGGCAGGAGAATGGCGTAAACCTGGGAGGCGGAGCTTGCAGTGAGCTGAGATCCGGCCATTGCACTCCAGCCTGGGCGACAGAGCGAGACTCCATCTCAAAAAAAAAAAAAAAAAAAAACCTGTGAAATATAAAAATAGGTTACCATTCAGTTGCTGGTATAGCTTTGTTGTTTAGTTTGTAAGCTGGTATTTTTATTGACCCCTGAAGATAATGAGGAATAGTCAACTTAGTGATTTATGTTAAACATATTCTTGTTATGTTTCTGGTTTTGTTTTTTTTTTTTCTTTTTTTCTTTTTTGAGACAGTGTCTTACTCTGTCATCCAGGCTGGAGCACAGTGGTGCAATCTTGGCTCACTGCAGCCTCCACCTCCCAGGTTCAAGCGATTCTCCTGCCTCAGCCTTCCGAGTAGCTGGGATTACAGGTGTATGCCACCATGCCTGGCTAATTTTTTTCTGAGATGGAGTTTTGCTCTGTGCCCAGGCTAAAGTGCAGTGGTGGGATCTTGGCTCACTGCAACCTCCGCCTCCTGGGTTCAAGCGATTCGCCTGCCTTAGCCTCCCAAGTGAGTAGCTGGGACTACAGGCGCTTGCCACCATGCCCAGCTAATTTTTGTATTTTTAGTAGAGACCTGGTTTCACCATGTTGGTCAGGATGGTCTTTATACGTGTCTCTTGACCTTGTGATCCGTCCGCCTCAGCCTCCCAAAGGGCTGGGATTACAGGTGTGAGCCACCGCCCCTGGCCTAATTTTTGAATTTTTAGTAAAGATGGGGTTTCACCATGTTGGCCAGGCTGGTCTTGAACTCCTGACCTCAAGTGATTTGCCTGCCTTGGCCTCCCAAAGTGCTGGGATTGCAGGTGTGAGCCACCGTGCCTAGCCACTGTCTAGTTCTTTTCCCTTTCACATTCAAATCGTTTTGGGAAAAAGTAATAGTAAATCTCTAATGTGGTGTCTGAATTACTTAAAGTCAAAATTTTTTGGATTTATTTTTAAATGACTCTTGCCCAAGTTGCCATGTAGGGAAGTTGTACATTTATTTTAACTATGCATCCATCCGTTAAATTACTTCTATAGGTTCTTTTTTAGAATTGCTTCACAGCCAGTTTTGGAATTACGAAAGAAAATTAGCCTCCTTGCTTTCGTTTATACATTAAAAATCTCATCTTTTTAAAACAAAATGAAGACATATTACTTTCTCAATTGACTTCATATTAATATTTTATTAACTTATGAAGCCTATGCAGCTGTTATGCAGTTGAACTTATGACTTCTAAGATAATAAATTATTTTGTACAACAAATCTGTGAAGAGCAAGAAACATTGTATAACTTTGTGAAATAATAGATTAAAAAAAACTAGGCCAGGTTCAGTGGCTCACACCTACGATCCTGACACTTTGGAAGGCTAGATGGGAGGAGGACCACTTGAGCCCAGGAGTTTGAGACCACCCTGGGTAACATAGTGAGACTGCCTCTCTTTAAAAAAAAAAAAAAGCCAGGTGTGGTGTTGTGCACCTGTGGTCTCAGCTGCTTGGGAAGTTGAAGTGGGAGGATTGCTTGAGCCTGGGAGATTGAGGCTGCAGTGAGCAGAGATTGCATCACTGCACTCCAGCCTGGGCTACAGAGCGAGACCTTGTCTTGAAAAACAAAACAAAAAGAAAATACCAAACTGTTGAGACCTGGGTGACTACCCCCCACCTTTAAAATTTGCATTTTACTTGAAATTGAGTGCGCATTGTGCTTTCCTGCAGATGAAAGTTATGGTGTGCCAAATCTAAAGGAAGCACTGTACCTTTGTGGAAGGAAAGAAAACCATCTGGTACCAGAAAAAGGCCAAAAGTGGGCTCTTTTTTGTAGTAACAGAATGAAAGCTAAGAGTCCATATTTAAAATATGATCATAAAACTATTCTTATTTTACAGTTCTTGGCATAAGAATAGACATGTGTTTTGGATAATATACCTAATTTTGAAAGTCGAGATATGCCTCTTTGAGAGAAGTAGTTGAAGCACACTGTTGATGTTTGTCGTTAGAACACATGTAAGTTTTATTGTGAAATAAATGAATTATTTGTTTTAGGACGAGTCTTCGTGTCTTGGCTTCCGTGACTATTAAAGGCTTTTATTTTGTTCTGTAAGCCAGTGTTTTAATCTGTTCTGTATAAAGATCCCTTTTTGTTTAGTATCATAAATATGTGGGTTTTTAAAGTTTGTTTTTAAAAAATCTTTTCTTTCTTTTGTTTCTGCATTTTTTAAAGCTGCACATCATTGACTCCTGGGCCCAACTGTGACCGATTTAAACTGCACATACCATATGCTGGAGAGACATTAAAATGTAAGTAAACGATGACTATTTTACTCAAAATGTAGGTTACAGTGTCAGCTATTGGACTTTGTGCTTTAGTTTTCATTTCCGGCTGTTAGTTGTTATCCCCTAAGATATTGATCACTAGCATTTACCACTTTTTTTATCTGTCATTCAATTCTAGTTTGATTAAAAGTAAGGCAGTTGGCAGGGAATAAGTTGTAGTTAAATAGGCATGCACAGAAATTCCTAATTTTTAGGCGTGCCCAGTAATTTTTATGTGTTTTTTTTCTTTATAGGTGGCTTTTATGTAATACTCAATAAAAAGTTCACTGCTTTAGAATACCTGGCCATTTAGAAACAGTTTTTAGGTAGGAGTGGCTGCTGTCCATCACTGCCGCTAACCCCCCTCTAGAACTGCTGTGCCACGACTTGTCACTGATCTATCTCCTGTTGTTACCGAAGTGTAAGAGTCCTGCTTCAAAAACTCTTGGCGTGGCTTAGGCATATCAACATGTTATCTCCTTTAAAGCAAGGATCAGAGATACAAATGGTCTACGAGGGTTAGATTGGTAACATAGTAAGGGAAACAGGCTAGGTGTGGCAAATTGGGACACCCTGTCACTTAAGGGGAGTGCCTCTACTGATTTATTGCGAGAAGGTGGATGTCTGAAGTTTTATGTGAATTCTGTCAGTTTTAGATGTGGCTACTTTTTCAAAATTAAAAACATGGTGTGGGCCAATATTATGCAGGCTAAACCTAACGTGTCTGTGGGCTGGCTTGAGTTCCTGGACCACAAGTTTTTTTATCTTGGATGGATAGTATGGAAGATCTGTCATTGGACTTAGCCCACTAGCTTCAGCAGCCGTCTAGGCTGTATCAGCTTTTCTCTGTCACTATTACAATACTTGTGGCTTTGGTTGGTTAGTGTTGGTAATCTCACCAGGAATTTTCTCTCTTGAACCTACACTTGTGGTGAACAGCCTATTAAAGTTCTCCTATTCTTAAAAAGAAAAGTAGAGAACATGGATATTAAACATGGGATAGATGGATAAACTGCTTTTTGGCCTGTGGACCAGTGTGTTTTACCATTACATGCCAGGAGGGGCCACAACTCTGTGTAGTATTTTGTATTCTTAGTACTGTATTCTGTAGGATCACTTGATACTAATTTATCAAATGCCACATTAAATGAGAAATGTTGGACATGCTGACTTGTCAGCCTTGCATTACTAGACCATTTTCTGGAAACCATTAAAATATAAAATAATTTTACCTGTCTGAAGTAGTAGGACAGATTTGATTGCTACTTTTTTTTTGAAAAAATTATTAACTAAATTTAAAAGAAATGATCAAAGTAAATAATTCATGTAGTTAAAAATGTAAAAGTACTGGAATTTTTTGATACATGAAACCAGTAGTCTTCTCTCCCAGTCCAGTTTCCTGAGAGAATCACTTGCAGATTCTAAAAATTTTCAGTTTAGCTCTCGGGGATGATCTCCATATCTTTAAACAATATACTTTTGCCTCTATTTCTTGCCTTATCAGTTTTAGACATTGTTATTTTTTGACTTCCTGTGCTGATACATGAAGCATCAGCCTATTTTTCCTATACCCCTTAACTATTTTTTCTTTTCTTTCTTAATGTAATTATATCACCATTATTGGTTCCTGTGTTGGTTACCCTGTAGCTTAAAAATTTTTACTTACTTTTTTTAATGGATCACTTTACACGTTATATTACACAGTTAATGAATAGCCCCTAAGAATTCTTAGTAAGTACGTGGTACACAGTTAGCTTTGTTATTACTTAAGGGCAATCTCTATGCAAGAATGGTGAACATTTAGGGTAGTATACTCTTTAGTTTTACATTAATCATAGATACTGTGTCTTTTGCCTCTGCATTTTATAAGATGAATATATTAGCCCCTGCCCTTCCTTCAATTCCTCTTCCTTCAACTCCCAGCTTTTGTCTTCAGTTATTTTCCTTTTGCATTTTCAAGATTGATAACTTACTGTCCGTTCTAAATCTGTAGTTGTCTTCTGTGCCTTGTCTATAAATTGCTTGAATGATTGCTCTGGAGGCCTGTTCCTGCATGATTATCACTGTGAGATTTGCCTTTATTATTATTTTGAATTTGACCTTGTTTTGTAGAATCTATGTATCATAGATTCTATGTTTTGTAGATGATTTTCTTGATAAACAGGTTATCTGCTTATCTTGCTGGAACCTCATTCTCAAATAACTTGCTCAGATTCTGTTCCTCTCTCTACCCTTCTGCCTTTCCTTTAGCCCATCTGATAATGTTTTATTACTACAGTCACAATTAGGTATCTTAATTTCTAAGAACTCTTTCTTGCACTGTTTCTCATTCTCAGCATCTTCTTATTTTATGAATATAGGTCCTTTAAAATCCTTCAAAAAATAAAATTTGGAGATTTTTTTAAAAAAAGTTTTCTTCTGTTATCTGAACTATTTTAATTTTTCCTAGGGATTATATTTTTGTTTATCATATTTTTCCCTCTTTTATTCTATAGGTTTTCTTCAAATAAAAGGTATTCATTTATGTTTAAGATAGACAATAAAATACTGAATGGGACTTCTGAGTAGGTGAGCAAGGCTTATGGAATGTGTGGATGAATGATGGGCCAGATGTGAGTCAACTGTTCTAGCTCTCCTCACATAGTTTGTTCTGTTTCTTCAGTGAATACCTGGGGATACATACCTGGTCACCCTGTCATTTCCGGGGGGTGGGTAGATAGACTATTCCGTGAGGAGCTTTTGCTTACTCTCCCTGTTCTTAGCCGTGTGTCTCACTCTTGCCTCCCCTTAACATGGGATAACTACCAACTTTTATGGGTTTAATTAAGACAAATGACTTCCTTCCGCGTCTTCCTCACATTATTACAGGCCAAAGCTTTCCTCTGCCCTATCTTGTCAAGTACTACACTTCCATCTGCATTCTATCTCTAGCAATTTGCTAAACTTTCTCATTTACTGATTACTCTCTTCCCTTCCTCTTCATCTTCCTGTTGTTTGGGATTTTATCTTTCTGTATTAACTATCATTTAATGGGATTGGAGGGTGGGTCTTAGAGAAGAAATAAGTGTATGTGGTCAGTCCACGGTCTTGAGACAAAAATAATGTGACTTCACAGGCATCTTTCTAGTAGTATGGGTTTATGTTGGGAAGCATTTGCTGATACCCTATGTCCTCTCATTACTATAAGCTCTTCATGGGAAGCCTTTAATAACATTTGTGATTAGTGTATTAGGTCTGTCACTCATCATATAATATAATTATGTTCTAGCAAACTGTTGTTGAATATTGTCATTATACATTGGGGACTTAGTTTAGCCCACAGTATGTTCTATAATAAATAAATAATAAGTGAGCATTGTACAATGGCGATTCTTATGCTAAAACAAGTCAAGATTCTAGTGTTAAGCAGCTCACAGCCAAATAAAAGGCAAAGGTAATTGACCATGGAAACAATATTTATAAAAGTTCGTAGAATTAGAAAGATGAGTTTTTTTAAAAAAACACACGTATATATGTGTATATATATAACATACACATATATACACACACATGCGATCTCGGCTTACTGCAACCTCCACCTCCTGGGTTCAAGCAATTCTTCTACCTCAGCCTCTGGAGTAGCTGGGACTACAAATGCCCACCACTATGCCTGGATAATTTTTGTATTTTTATTAGGGACAGGGTTTCACCATGTTGACCAGGATGGTCTTGATCTCTTGACCTTGTCATCTGCCCGCTTCAGCCTCCCAAAGTGCTGGGATTACAGGTGTGAGCCACTGCACCTGGCCGGTTTTTTTTTTGTTTTTTTGTTTTTTTTTTTTGAGACAGAGTCTTGCTATGTTGCCCAGGCTAGACTTGAACTCCTGGGCTCAAGTGTTCTTCCTCCGTCAGCCTGCTAAGTAGCAGACTACAGGCACACATCACCATGCTCAGATCTTTTCCTTTTAATAATACAATCATCCCTTAGTAACCATGAGGGATTGGTTCCAAGACCTCCTGTGCAAGTCCCTGATATAAAAGGGCATAGTATTCACATATATCCTATGCCCATCTTTCTGTGTACAGGCATACCTCATTTTATTGTGCTTCAACAAGGATGTTATGTGGTTTTTTTTTTTTTTTTATAAATTGATTGATGGTTTGTGGCAATCTTGTGTTGAGCAAGTTTATCAGAGCCATTTCCCCAAAGCATAGGCTTATTTCATGCCTTTGTGTCATGTTTTGGTGATTTTTGTACCATTTCAAACTTCTTTAATTATTATTTTTTTAAACTTAAAAATGTTTGCTTTTTAAATCATGAAGTATTTCCACATACTTTTTCATTATTATTCTGTTTTGGTGATCTGTGACTAGTAATCTTGAATGTTACTATTTTTGTGTTGAGATGCCATAAACCATACATACCCATATAAGATAGTGAATTTAATCAATAAATGTGTATGTTCTGATTGCTGTAGTGATTGACCTTTTTCCTTTCTCCCTCTCCTTGGGCCTTCTTATTCCCTGAGACACAGCAGTATTGAAATTAGGCCAGTTAGTAACCTTGCAATGTCCTCTGAGTGTTCAAGTGAAGAGTCCCACACCTCTCACTTTACATCAAAAGCTGGAAATGACGAAATTTAGTGAGGAAGGCATGTTGAAAGCTGAGACAGGCTGAAAACTAGGCCCCTTGGCCAAACAGTTAACCACGTTGTGAATGCAAAGAAAAATTTCTTGAAGGAAATTAGAAGTGCTACTCTAGTGAACACATGAATTATAAGAAAGTGAAAAAATTATTGCTGATATGGAGAAAGTTTTCGTGTTTGAATGAAAGATCAAACCAGCCACAAAATTCCCTTAAGCCAAAGCCTAATCAAGAACAAGTCCTAATTCTCATCAATTCTAAGAAGATTGAGAGAAGTGAAGAAGCTGCAGAAGAAAATTTGAAGCTAGCAGAGGTTGGTTCATGAGATTTAAGAAGAGAGGCCATTTCTATCACACAGAAG